CTTAGTGCTGAAGTCAGTTTAGCTCTCAGTCCAGTGCAAAATATTGTACTTTGAAAGGGGTAGGCTGCCATTTTATCCATCTCAGTAAGTCAAATATCTCAGGACAGCTCTGCTAAGACTCAGTCTAAAAATTCTAAGCAACCAGGACTTGCCAGCTTCTTTCAAGGTCCCATGCCCTTTTTACAACTAGCCTATTTCAGTCCCTATCTTGGATAAACCAAGGAGGGAGGGGGAGATGCTCTTTTGACAACATTACTGTCTCTGAATTTAAGAAGCAAGCACCAGAGTAAACATGGTTAGCCTTGTTGTTTTTAACTGCCATCAAGTCGACTGTAATCTATGGTGACCCTGTGAATAAGAGACTCCGAAGTCACACTTGTCATCAACAGCTTTGCTCAAGTCGTGCAAACTCAGAGCCATGGCTTTTTTGATTGAATCTATCCATCTGTAATGTATTTTCCTCTTTCCCCATTACTTTTTACTATATTGTGTTTTCTAGTGAGTCATGTCTTCTTATGATATGTTCAAAGTATGACAATAATAGTTTAGTCATCTTGGCTTCTTGGGAAAGTTCAGTCTCCATTTGCTCCAGGACCAATTTGTTTGTCTTTTGAGCAAGATCCATATAACTCTTCCCCAATAATAATGAGGAGGAGGAGGAGGAGGAGGAGGAGGAGGAGGAGGAGGAGGAGGAGGAGGCCAGGATCGTAAAATCGGTTGATGACCCAAAATGCAGACTGTGCAAGGAAGCTGATGAAACCATTGACCATATCCTCAGCGGCTGCTGGAAGAAAATTGCACAGATGGACTACAAACAGAGGCACAACTCTGGCCCAAATGATTCATTAGAACTTATGTCACAAGTACCACCTGCAAGTAGTAAAGAACTGGTGGAATCATAAACTTGCAAAGTTAGTGAAAAATGAACACACAAAAATACTGTGGAACTTTTGAATCCAAACTGCCAAAGTTTTGGAACACAATATACGAGACATCACAATTGTGGAAAAGAAAAAAGTTTGGATTATTGATGTCGCCATACCAGGTGACAGTCAATTTGACAAAAAACAACAGGAAAAACTCAGCCATTATCAAGACTTCAAAATTGAACTGCATAAACCAGTACAGGTGGTCCCAGTGGTAATTGGCACACTGGATGCCATACTAAAAGATTTCAGCCGGCATTTGGAAACAATAAACATTGACAAAATCACAATCTGTCAACTGCAAAAGGTCATCTCACTTGGATCTGCATTCATCATTCAAAAATATAGCACACAGTTCTAGACGCTTGGGAAGTGTTCGACTTGTGATTTTGTGATACGAAATCCAGTATATATATCTTGTTTGCTCTGTCATACTGTGTTTTTGTGTCAGTAAAATAATAATTATAATAATATATTATTATTGTATGTTTAAATAGCATACAATTTTGTAGTATAAACCTATATAAAAGATAAATTATATATAATAAAAACCTGAGCAAACTAAAACTCATAAATCTACCTATTTCCAAACACACCAAAACTACCTCTAGTATTACAACCACCACTACATATAAACAAACAATCTGACAAAAGGCATACATGACTTCCAACTTGTCAGTTTAGAATTGTGTTTGATAAACATCCTTCCTCCTTTGTAATGATGCAAAATTTTATACCAGAAATTCTTTAAATATTAGTTCTACGAATTAGTAAATGCCACTATCTTTTAAAACCTCATTTTCCTCATATTTGTAACACTAAACTTCTTTTTTCCTGATTAAATCTGTCCTTTTGTGTATTTTAGCAAAGTTATGTAACTTTGGTTATTGTATGTTTTTCGGGCTGTATGACCATGTTCCAGAAGCATTCTCTCCTGACGTTTTGCCTGCATCTATGGCAGGCATCCTCAGAGGTTGTGAGGTCACACAACCTCTGAGGATGCCTGCCATAGATGCAGGCGAAACATCAGGAGAGAATGCTTCTGGAACATGGGTCACAACCTCTGAGGATGTCTGCCATAGATGCAGGTGAAACGTCAGGAGAGAATGCTTCTGGAACAAGGCCATATAGCCCAAAAAACTTACAACAACCCAGTGATTCCAGCCATGAAAGCCTTCAAGAATACATTGTGTAACTTCATTAACACCTCAAGTCCTTATAAGTATAGCCATATCCTTCCACCGGTATGTCTACAGATCTGTAGGTCTTCCAGGATTCCCTTCTCATTCCACTTTTCCAATAGTCCAAGAAGTTCAAGTTTTCAGTATATTGTCCTTTCCCAAATCTCTTCCCTCCCTCCAGTCATACATCTGAATCTACCATTTATTGTATTGTTTGCTCGCTTGCTTGCTTTTCAGGAGGTCCAGCCCCCCATTTCAAAGGAGTTGATGCTCTTCCTCCAACTGCCTCCTTTTCCCAGCTTCCACCACCAGGCACGGCAAAGGGGAAGAGGATGCCCCACTCCAGGGAGTTTTTGCAAAGCCATCTCCCACCGTGGCTATACAGGGACCACGGTGATACAAGAGCAGGCGACGCCTTTACAGAAACCTCCCCACGGAACAGTTGGACTCTGCCTCGAAAGGGCTGCGGGTGGAATCGAATCGACTCATCTGGACCGGCCGGAGGCAAGGAGAGGTGCTTGGCTTTCCCTCTTCTTCCTCGCATGATCTCTTCCCAGGCATCCTCGGTGGTGGTTTTTCCCTTCCTTGCTTGCTTCCTCCCATCGCCGGCTGCGAGGCTACCTCTCCTCCCCGTGAGCCCACTCAATCCCGCGTGGGACTGACTTGTTCCGAGTCAAACTGGACCCAAACCCTTCTTTGCGCGTCAGGACGAGCGGGCGGCTTGGAGGGAGGCGACCATCCCACCTCTCGGGTCCCACGCGCGAAAACCACGAGGCCGGACAGAGGGCGTTGGCGGACGGAGGAGGGACGGGCGTGGCGTTGGGAGTCTCCACCTGGCCAAGGAAAGAAGACCGTGGGCGCGGAAGGAGGGCGGCTCGCGGCAGGAAGAGAAGATCCACTGCCACGCCAGGAACGCGAGTGGGGCGGGAGTGGAAGGCCCCCGCCGAGCCCCACGAGGATTCGCCAGCCTCTCTTTGTGCCTGATCCCTATTATTATTAGTACTACTCCTACTCCTACTAATTTTATTCATCCGGATAAAACATCATTTCCTTCTTCATTCTCCAACTTTCACAACCGTCTCGCATATCCATGGAATATAGGCGGGAATGTATTATACGTGTGTATATATATAATGTTTATTCCGGATGAATAAATTACCTTATACCTCCAGTCATATGTACACACACAGGCACATACATATATGCGATATATCTCTCTCTACACACACACACACACACTAGAGATTGAATCCACTTTAAATCCGGTTGCTGCCTCCTGCAGAATTCTGGGGTTTGTAGTTTAGGGAGAGACCTTTAACATAAGTCTAGTGGAGTCCGACTCTGAAAGGGTGGTGCTCATCTCCATTTCTAAACCGAAGAGCTGGCGTTGTCCGGAGACACCTCCAAGGCCATGTGGCCAACATGACTGCACGGAGCACCCTTACCTTCCCACCAAAGATGTACCTATTGATCTACTCACATTTGCATGTTTTCGAACTGCTAGGTTGGCAGAAGCTGGGGCTAACAGCGGGAGCTCACCCCGCTCCCCGGATTCGGACCACCAGCCTTTGGGTCTGCAAGTTCAGCAGCTCAGCGGTTTAACCCACTGCGCCAACGGGGGCTCCTACACACACATATACACGTATGTATATACACACAACATGTGTGTGTATTAAACATCATACATATATTATACACAACATGTGTGTATTAAACATCATACATATATCTCGCATATACGTATATACTCTGTGTTTAGGCCAGGTATGGGCCAACTTGGGCCCTCCAGGTATTTTGGACTTCAACTCCCACCATTCCTAACAGCCTCAGGCCCCTTCCTTTCACTTAAGCGGCTGAGGGGGGAAAGGATAGATGGATAGACAGACAGACAGACAGACAGACAGACAGGACCCGTGGTCGGGGTCGCGAGTGGGTGTCGGACTGGTCGCCAAAGACCATTAGGAAACACAATATTTTCTGTTGGTCATGGGGGTTCTTTGCGCCAAGTTTGGTTCAATTCCATCGTTGGTGAGGTTCAGAAAGCTCTTTGATTGTAGGTGAACTATAAATCCCAGCAACTACAACTCTCAAGTCTCAAGGTCTATTTACCCAGACTCCACCAGTGCTCGCATTTGGGCATATTGAGTATCCGTGCCAAGTTTGGTCCAGATCCAACATTGTTTGAGTCCACGGTGCTTTCTGGAAATAGGTGAACTACAACTCCCAAACTCAAGGTCAATGCCCACCAAACCCTTCCAGTATTTTCTGCTGGTGACGGGAGTTCTTTGTGCCAAGTTTGATTCAATGCCATCGCTAGTGGAGTTCAGAATGTTCTTTGATTGTATGTGAACTATAAATCCCAGCAACTACAACTCTCAAATCTCAAGGTCTATTTACCCCAAACTCCACTAGTGCTCACATTTGGGCATATTGAGTCTCTGTGCCAAGTTTGGTCCAGATCCATCATTGTTTGAGTCCACAGTGCTCTCTAGAGGTAGGTGAACTACAACTCTCAAACTCAAGGACAATGTTCTCCGGAGCCTTCCATTATTTTGTGCTGGTCATGGGAGTTCTGTGTGCCAAGTTTGGTTCAATTCCATTGCTGGTGGAGTTCAGAACACTCTTTGATTGGAGATGAACTATAAATCCCAGCAAGTGCAACTCCCAAGCTCCAGTGAATGAAAATCCATCCTGCCTATCTGATCTTTGCATGACGATTCATAACAGTAGCACAATTCCAGTTATGAAGTAGCAACACAAATAATGTTATGGTTGGGGGTCACCACATCATGAGGAACTGGATTAAGGGGTTGCATTAGGAAGGCTGAGAAAGACTGGGCTAGAGAGAGAGGAGAAATCCCTATGGGAGTTGCGCTCCCGACGGAAACGGGCGATGTTTGTGTTCCTGGGGGAGGGGGAGAGAGAAGAGCCGGGTCCAGAAGGGGGGGTGAGTGGGCATCCCGGGGTGCCTCCTCGTTCCCGCTTCCCCCGCCGGCTCCTCCGTTTTCGGATTGGCGAGGGAGGGGAGGSGGGGAGTTTTTGTGCCTGGGCGCCTTGCTGTGCCAACACAGCGCACAGTGGCACCGGGCGCCTCTCAAACCCGACGGGGAGGCAATGCGGGGCTGAGGCGGGACGGGGCCCCGGGGGCGGGACTCGGGAGGCGGAGGAGGAGCATCCTGGAAAGCGGGCAGCCTGGACAGCCRGCCTCCGTCGGGTCTGGCCACCCGTGACCCTGGACGGAGGCCGCCCCGTTTCACCCTTCCTCCCTTCCGTCGTCCTTCCTGGCGTAACGGGCGCCCCTTGGTTGGGTCTTGGCTGGGTCTTGCCTGCCTTGGACGGGGGCGGCGACTAAGGGGCCCCGTCCTCGGAGCGTGAGGCGGGGGGAAAGCAAGAGAAGCGCCCCGACCGAGAAGGACAGCCTTCAGGAACCCCCGGGGAGTTTTTGCAAAGGCCTGCCGTCGGGACGCAACGAGGTGGGAGCAAGCTTACTTCGCCGAGAGAGGCACCCAGGTCCTGGTCAAAGGTGAGGACGGGGCGCGGAGTGGAGGCAAAGGGGGCTCTCATGGGGGCTGTCCTCTCGTCCGGCTCTAATCCCCCCCCCCCCCAATTAGTCCCCCCTTTCCCAGAAGAACAGCCACGAACTCGGTTTATTTGGATTGCGGGGAGGGGAGAAAATCCCTCTCGGGCACAAAAACCTTTCCTTTAAGGGCGGCCAAAGTAGCCCAAGATTTGAAAGCCAAACCCTATGAGGAGCGGCAGAAGGAAGCTTGGAGGAAAGGACACATTTGAAAGCTTGGAGGAAAGGAAACATTTGAAAGGATGTGTTGTCGAAGGCTTTCATGGCCGGAATCACTGGGTTGCTGTAAGTTTTCCGGGCTGAATGGCCATGTTCCAGAAGCACTCTCTTCTGACGTTTCGCCTGCATCTATGGCAGGCATTCTCAGAGGTTGTGAGGTCTGTTGGAAACTAGGCAAGTGGGGTTTATATATCTGCGGAATGAAGAAAATGAACCTATGGACTGCTGGGATTTGTAGTGTGGCAGATCTACAGACCGATAGACCTCACAACCTCTGAGGATGCCCAGCATAGATGCAGGCGAAACGTCAGGAGAGAATGCTTCTGGAAGATGACCACTTTTGGGGGAGGGGGAAGCAAGCTTTGTTTCTGCATCTCTAGAGCAGGCCTGAGCAAACTTGGGCCCTCCAGGTGTTTTGGACTTCAACTCCTACCGGCTGCTAGGAATGGTGGGAGTTGAAGTCCAAAACACCTGGAGGGTCCAAGTTTGCTCAGGCCTGCTCTAGAGACTAGGATACAGAGCAATAGTGTCAAACTCTGGGAAAAGAGATTCCACTCAAACATTAGGAAGGACTTGTTGGGTAGGATAGGATGTCTCCTGGGAGTGTGGTAGAGTCTCATTCTCTGGAGGTTTTTAAAGAGGTACCGAGAAAAGATAGCATTTTCTCTCATTGGGTTGCTGTGAGTTTTCCAGGCTGCATGGCCATGTTCCAGAAACATTGTCAACAATGGATCTGCATGAAATTTGGCACGTATACCCAATATGCTCAATTTTGAATACTTTGCTTTGAGGTGGAATTGGCCTTGACATTTGTTAGTTGTAGGTACTGGGATTTATAGTTCACCTGCAATCAAAGAGCACTCTGAACCCCACCAATGATGGACCTGGACCTAATTTGGCACACAGACTCCCCATGACCAACTGAACCTATTAGAGGGATTTGACGGGACTGACCCACCATGGTGGGAGTTGCAATTCATCCTGCAGCTGGAGAGCATACTGAACTCCACCGATGATGCATCAAGAGCAAATTTGCCCAACATGGCAAACTTTAAGTATTGATTGCATTTCAGGGGGTTAACCTGGCATGATGTGCATTGTAGTTCACCCACAACTTTATGCATTTTGTAAAATAAAAAATGACTTCTTCTAATAACCCGGGCAACTTCAGGTACTCAAGCAAGTATTGAATAAATATAAACAGCCGTAAACTTATCCCAGCATCAGGAGCAAAGAATAGGAAAGTTCTGTTTGGGCTACAAATCCCCTGGACCTTGATGGCTGGGGAATTCTGGTAATTGTAGTCCCCAAGGTACCTTTCCCACCACACTGATGTTATAACTAAACTGATACAGGCACCCCTTCATTTCCATGGAGTCTGCACCCACAGATTTAATTATCCACAGCTTGAATGGGGGAAAAACAGAAAGCAAACCTTGATTTTCCTATTTTATATCAACAACAGCATTTTACTATGCTGTTGTATATAATGGGACTTCAGCATCCATGGATTTAATTATCTTCGGGGATTCTGGGCGGTGTGGGGGAGGAAATAACAGATACTGAGGGCCCATTGAGTATAATTGAAAAATTATCATTTGAAAACATGGGTAAAACCGCATCAGAATAATTATTAATAGTACCCATATTAATTACAGGCAAATTAAAGTCAAAAAATGATTGAAAATGCATCAGTCTCAGCTACAATCCTGTACAGTTTTGCTTGGGAGAAGCTCCTACCATTCTTGATACAGGTCTCAATTCCATGTAAATATGTACAGGATTACAGTCTAATATCCTTCAGATCACAACCACAGAATTTTAATCTGTTTTGGTTTATGGGTATTAAAGGTAAGGATAAAGGTTTCCCCTTGATATTAAATCTAGTTGTGTCTGACTCTGGGGGTTGGTGCTCATCTCCATTTCTAAGCCAAAGAGCCAGTGTTGTCTGTAGATGCCTCCTAGGTCATGTGGCCAAGCATGACTGCATGGAGCGCCATTACCTTCCTGCTGAAGCAGTACCTATTGACTACACACAGGAGCCACTGAAATCCACATGCACGTGGACAATTTCAACAGAAAGGAAGAAACCATGAAAACGAACAAAATCTGACCACCAGTACTTAAAAAACCTCTAAAATCAGGACAGAAAATAAAAAACAGGGGAATTCCAAACAAGAAACAATCAGGGCCAGCCAATCATCTCCCAACAAAGGATTCCCCCAGGCAGTAAGAAGCCAGACCTTGGAACTGCTAGGCCATTCAATGCTAATCAAGGTGGCCAATTGAAACATTCACACTTGCCTCAAACAGACAAGAATTTTTTCTCCCACTCTGGACATTCCACAGATATATAAAACTCACTTTCCTAGTTTCCAACAGACTTCACAAACTGTGAAGATACACATACCATAGATGCAGGCCAAACGTCAGCGGAGAATGGTTCTGGAACATGGCCATACAGCCCAGAAAACTCACAACAACCCAGTAATTCCGGCCATGAAAGCCTTCGACAATACATTCAAATCCAATAAAAACAGGAAAGAGCATTAGTAAAATGAAGATAATTATTTTGTTTCCTCACCATCGAGTAAATCCTCCAAAAGCACTAGATTCTGTCTGATATTGGAAGCTTAAAGGTGTCACTTTTTAGTCACATATACACATTCAAATACACACATTCAAAAGTGTTATCAGTTATATACAATAATGCTCCAGCATAGAAAAACAGGAAAATAAAATAATAAAAGAATGAAAAACAACCACATTAGTCCTGGTAAGAACTTGGATGGGAGCCCTGTCAAATTAATGGGGTTGCTATAGGTTGACCGGTGAGTTGGAGGCATGCATGCACACACAGGAGCCTCCCTAGTGCCAAACAGAAACAAAGCACTCAGTCCCATAAAAAGAAATGTTAAAAGGAGAGTAGGATCAGGAACTGCAAAATACTACTCAAAATTTTGCATGTAAGGTAGCCTGCTACATAGCTTCTAGAAATAACGAAGGAGAAGTTAATATATGATAACCTTGTCTTAAATATTTTATTCCGAATTCAGAAAGAGAATAATACATAGCCTCTTTTTCCTGGGGGCAGAGGGAGGCTTTTTGTGTCAGTCTCCTCTAAACAAACCCTTTTCTCCCTCTGCAGATCCTGAGTGCGAGAATGAAAAGGGCAAGCCCAGCCTGGTCCTCCTGGGGCCCACGTGCCACAAGAAGAGCATCACACTGGTGTGCCTGGCCCATGGCTTCTCCTATGCGTGGCCCCTGAATGTAATCTGGGAGCGTGATGGCAAACCAGTGCCTCGCTTTTCAGTGGCCACTGAGGAGGCCAAGGCTGAGGGCAAGTGCAGCTTTGGCATTGCCAGTCGCCTGACGGTGGCAACTGCCGAGTGGAAGGAGGGCCACACTTACTCCTGCCAGGTGAACCAAGGGGACATTGCAGATGTTAAAGAGGAGATGACTAGTGAATTGATTCAGAAGCCAAGTAAGTAAGGACCAAGACAGAACAATCCTGACTGCCATTAAGTTAGGGTACATACATTAATCGCATGCCTTTGTGTGGCATATTTATGGTTGGTGTAGGCTACCATGCAACCGCTGAAAACCATCCACAGCCATCCTCTGCTTACTGGAGAGTGGAGGAGGAACTGCAAAAAATCTCTACCTATTTCCCCATGACCAGATACAAGGTGATTTCCTTATTCACTGAGACCCCCAGAAGACCCAGTGAAGGATACAATCATTTCTATCTGACATCCCCTGGACAACGTCCTTGCAGATAGCCAATTCCCTCACACCAGAAGTGACTTGCAATTTCTCAAGTTGCTCCTGACATAAAAAAAAACACCTGGTTACCAGGGCATACCCAGATGTTTCTCTGTGCCATCATTACACCTCCAAGCATGGCATAGCCATAGGCTTCAGTGGCTCTGCAGTAGGTTTGGGGATTGTGGAATTAGTATGCTATACAGAGCCATGCAGGATTGTGACCAGAGTGTGGAAAGTAGGTCAGCAGATTCCAACTCAAATGAACAAAAAAATCCCTTCCTTCCTTTCTGTGGAGAAAATAAAGCTTCCTCATCAGATTTCTCTATGGCTGTGCTTTCTGCATGTAATCTCTTAAATTGATCCCACAGAATAGAACTGAAATGGCTGCTCATTGTCTAGTATGCACTGAGAGCTTAGAAGAAAATAAAATTGAAGGCTGGACCACAATCTTTCATTGCCCAAAGCAGAACAATATCCTGTTTACCCACCAATCTCCACATAACCTACAAGGTTGACCCAGAGCTTGGGAAAGTTGATTTGGACCACAGCTCCCCAAATCTCTCACGGGATATTTTGCCCAGGGTGAGGAGCGGGAGTTGTAGTCCCACAAGTCTCTTTTATAAGCTCATCAAATTGTTTTGGCACCTGAGGTGGAACATGTTTCCCAAGGCTTTCCTTGGGAGTGAATTTTAAAGCTAACTCATTTGCTGATGCTTTATGATGTCTCAAATCAGTGCCTGAGATCACTTGCCTCACACTTCCGAATGACAAAGCCAGCCTAGGACTTTCTATTCAGAGCCTCTCGGACAATGCTTCTCAACCTTCCTAATGCCGCAACCCCTTCGTACAGTTTCTCATGTTGTGGTGGCCCCCAACCATAAAATTATTTTTGTTGCTACTTCATAACTGTAATTTTGCTACTGTCATGAATTGTAATTTAAATATCTGATATGCAGGATGTATTTTCATTCACTGGATCAAATTTGGCACAAATACCTGATATGCCCAAATTTGAATATCGGTGGAGTTTGAGGGGATTGATTTTGTCATTTGGGAGTGTAGTTGCTGGGATTTATAGTGTGGTAGAGTGCCCTTCAAAAAATAAGCAGTGTGAAATATCTTTTTTTGTGAGGCAGAGGTGAGGATGAAATAATCTCTGGCTTCTGTCTTCGCTGAAATACAGCCATCTCTGTGTTTTCTCCCACAACAGAATCAGGCCTTTCTGAAATGCAGCTCAGCCTTCGAGCCGGACAGTTTATCTTCCTTCTCTTGGCTGTCAAGAGCTTTGCTTATGGCACTGCTCTGGGAATCTACAGAGCTTGTAGAAAAAAAGGTAAGTGACTTACCTTGCCTACTACAACATACATCGTGGCTTAACTACAGGGAACCATTTCCCATGAATCCAAAGCCCCCCAAAATACTAGAATATGTGCACAGAAGGGAAGGGCAGTCCAAGCTCAAGGTCACTAAAAAGGAAGTCGGTGCCCAGAACCAAATGATCACAGGGTCCTCTTCTCCTTTATGACTCCATATTATTTAGTGATATGAATATGCAACATGAAGGTCAAGATTCAGGTACATAAGTCTCTACCAACATCCCTAACACAACTCAACTAGGGGTGTTGGGAGTTTCAAGCTTCTTATTTCCCAATTATTTCTTGTTCTTAACCAAGCAATTGAGAGGGCTCCCCAGTACAGCTCCCTCTCCCCAGTCTTTTGTCATCTGTGGTGGTGCACCCAGATGCACTCATCAGCCCTTGGTAAAGAAGAGCAGTCTCTACCCACAGCATAAGTATGCGTCTTCGTCCCTCTACGCTCAAGACCAGCTGTGGTATGCCCAGGCAGCTTCTGCTGTCAAAGTCCTTCTAGAAGGATTTATATTCAATTCCGTAGTGCCCCAAAAAGTATCTACAGTGACATGACTGAAAATTATGTCAGTATATATGTCACCAAGAGCTTTCTAACCATATTATCATACAGTTTAATGTGTACTATTTAGGGATGACACTTCATTACTTGTCATTACAACTTCAGGAACCCACATTTCATTATGATATAATGCTAGTCCTTTCCTGTAAGAAAAGTGACAGATCTCTGTTATAAGGCCACTAAAAGTGCACAGGGTTTTCAAGAGGCCTCCAGACCTTTGGGTTCTGCAAGATATAACTTGAAGCAGGTTGGGACAAGGCTTGTGATATCTGACATGATCTTGTCCATCTTATTGTCCATCTTGGCTCAGTGGAATTGACTGATGTGTCAAACAACTGATTCAGTGGACCTACTCTAGTTGGGACTAAGCAGTACAACTCAGGTCATTGTGACATGTGGAAAGATCAGTGGGATTTGCAGGCATTTAAAAGAGATTATCTCATATGATGTGAAAATATGGATGGCATCAAGAACAAATCCAAGAAACACTGGAAGATGAGGTGATGGGAAACGTTTAATCCTTCATTTCTGAAAAAATAATATTGAGCTGTGAAGTCAAAACTGTCTCCATCCTATGTGAAGCACTCAACTTGGTGAGAGTTTAATTGGTCACTGGGCAACCAGATTGAATTTCTCATTATTGAGTATCTCATTGATTGATTAGGCAAACATCTGGCATGTAGCAAAGAAGAAGATAGTTGAATTTTCTCAAAGAAATTCCATTGTGGTCAGGAGAAGCTTCCATGAAGGTGTAAGTCACACTGACTCCCTTAAAGTCTAAATCAGTGGGTCTCAACCTGTGGGTCCCCAGATGTTTTGGTCTTCAACTCCCAGAAATCATAACAGCTGGTAAACTGGCTGGGATTTCTGGGAGTTGTAGGCCAAAACACCCGGCGACCCACAGGTTGAGAACCACTGGTCTAAATCTTCTCTCAGCTACAGTAGCAGGACAGAGTAGATATACTACAAGAGTGCTTCTCAGCTTCCGGTCTTTCCAGGTGTTTTGGGTATCAATTCCCAATGTTCCTTACCATTAGAAATGTTAATTGGGGCTTCTGTAAGAAGGATTAAAACTGAGAACCACTGCTGTAATATACATACACTGTCCTCTGCTCCTGATGTAGTGGAGAGAAAATCTGCACCTGACAGCCCTGGTGTTGGGGAAGTCATGGAACCCCATCCCCTTTGGGGGTATTTATACAGTATGAATGACTTGGCAGGATAGAAGCTTAAACAGTATATGTTGTGTTGACAACACTTTTTCATCTCTTTCCCTTATAGGTGTTTAATGGGACTGTAGACCTGCATTCCTTTGCTTGCAACGTTGAGTTGCTCCCTCCACACCCAAGAAATGTATTGTTTGCCCATAAGGGAGGAGTGCAGAGCCATAGATCCTGCTCTGAGATTTTCATGGCCTCCTTCACAGCCTCTTTTCAATTTTGGCAACCTGGATTAATCACTTGGCAAACTTTATGCTCAATTGCTCTTTGCATTGAGCAAATGTCAGTCTTTATTTTGAGTGACAATTAAAAAGAAAGAAATGTTGACATTCTTACCATCTGGTGCCTGCATGGAAATCGGTGACCTACAAATAGGAAAGTTTAATAAGTGCAGTGTTTCCACTCTTGTTGTGTTTTTCTCTGGGTGGTGGTGGTGAAACCATACCTGTTAAAACTGCACAGCCTCTCTCAAATGATGAATATTCATGCACTGATGTCTTCCAACCACAAAACCACATGATGGTTCCAATTAAATCTAGATTTTCTTGCACTCCACATTACCTTCACATCGTCTCAGACCTCCCAACACAATGAAGCAGGAATCTTTCAATGTCTTGCTCCAGGGAACTGAGAAGGAGAGAATCAATGTAGTAGCTTGAGGAGCAGTTTTCATAAAACATGGTGAAATATATACATTAGTAGGTAGCATTGTGCTGTGCTTCCAGCAGCACACTGAGTAGTTGAAAGTCTGATTCCAGGAACAAGCAGAAGGCCAGAGCCCTCAGGTAGATCTCCAGGTGATTTACTCAAAGTGTGTGGAAAGGTTCTTTTTCAGCCAACATCTTCCAGACTCCTCCAAGCAACATGCCCAGTGGCTGTGCCATCTCAGAGGCTCTGGATGTTGCAGTTAAAAGGAAACTTTTCCAAGCTTTTGCTTTGCAGTAGATTTCCAAAGATTTTTGAACAGCAACAGGCCCATTTCCCCATCGAAACTCAACTCCTAAGGTGGAGGCGGTGTGATGGAGGTGATACTGAATGCATTTTTATGGGAAAGAACTGTGAGCTCGGTTTTGATCTTTCAAGCAGTGTTAGAATCCCTAATCAATAGCAACTCCAGTATAGATTTGTGCTTACCTCTGCAGCTTAACTCAGTGTCTAGTGTTAGGTAATTGACTTTAGCTCCATCAGGCACCATTTTGCATCTGCTTCAATTCACAGAACTGTTAGGAAGGGAATTTGTGCTGCCCCCCAGGTAGTGTATTGCTATTTCCATCAGCATTATTCAACATAGCCATGGGAGGGGAGTTGATGGGACTTATAGCTCAATATTTTCTGCCAGATTTCAATTCCCAGAATCCTGATGTTCATACTGCCTTGGAAATTCCAAGGTTGTAGTCCAGAAATAAACTTTTCAAGCTCTGTCTTTGAGGGTCATATATTGCCCAGCCCAAGTCATTGGCCACAATCATCCTGATTTATTCATAAGGTTGAACGTGGTGAAAACCATCCACTGCATGTCTATCAGCCTCCTTCCAGTAGACTCAAATCAAGGAAAGGCTTCATGAAAACCATCACTCCTCTTAACATCCCCCCAGCAACAGCAAAAGTATCCCTCTGGACAGCTAAACCATAAAATCCCAATTGGATGGCCCCCAATAGGCTCCTCCTCCAGGGGCAAATCAAGAATGGACAACTTGGAAATCCTTGAACAGACTCAGAAGCAGAGTGGGTAGATCAAAAGACAACCTGGCAAAATGTTACTACCTAAAAGAATGTCCCACCTTGTGTGACTGTGGAGCTGAACAGACAACTCTGCATCTGTACGCTTGTCCACTATGCCCTGCCTCATGTACAGAGGAAGAATTGTTGGAGGCTACATGCAATGCCATTGCTGTTGCCCGTTTTTGGTCAAAAGACATATAGCCACTTGTGCTCCTTCTGTTTTTATCAGTTTTATATTAATTTATGCAATGTTTTGATTCAAAATAAATAAATCCTGATTTATTGTTGTGTGCCTTCAGGTTGTTTTCAACCCATAGCAACCGTAAGGAATGCCTATCACAGATTTGTTCAAAAGATGTTTGGCACTTAAACCCTGGCTTCCAGAGTCATAGCCAATGCTCAAACCACTATACCACTGGAAGAGACCTATTGAATTGATTGATTGATAAATGGTGGCTCAACATGTTTATAAATCCCATTGATTCAGTCTACTCTAATTGAAAGAAGGATTTAGACCACCCTTTTGTATCTTGCATCTGCACCATGGACTTCGGTTTCTAGTTTTGCTTTTTTTTTACAAACACTCTAAATGGATCCCACTGGTTGGCCTTGTGCATTTGTGGCCTCCTTCAAGTGTCACCACAGCACTTCCTCCCTCACACTTTTAGCAGCTCTGTAATATCGACTGATGTACCAGAATGTTCTTTGCAGCAGTGCTAAGTGCAACAGCAGTTCCGCCGGGTGGCTGGCAGTTTAAAGAAGTAACTAGATGGTGTACACACACCAAGATGCTTTTAGTGGCCCTTTAGTTAACTGTAATGTAACATGAAGTGTGGAAGGCTACCTAGTGACAATTTAATCAGGCATTAACAATACATAGGGGAAGTCAGGCACGCCAGAGTTGGGTTTTCCAAAGCTGAGTTGGCTTCCCGCTGTGACATGTCCTGTTATATGCAGAGCAAATACCCTTGGGACTCCCATCCACTTTAGTCTGGCTAAGTGTATGACCGTAACCCCCCTTCTGCGCCCTCTCTCTCTTTCAGCGTGAACCTCTTGTAGTTTCCAGCTTCATTATCTGTCTGATCTACAGCTGTATGCCCTTCTAGCAGAAGCTGGTTTGGTTTTGAAGAATGGTATATCTTCAACTCACATCTCAACAACCTTTCTGCACCTTGATAGGATCTGCTCACTCAGGAAGTGAACACAGACTTGGGTATCAACCTTTTGAATTAGCACCTGTGTTCGCCTTCTCAAAGTCGCTTATGCTTTCTTACCTGATGTCCTGAACTTCGAAAATTGTTTAAAAATATCTAACATCTGTCACTTGACAGAGTTCAGACTAGGATATTTTCTCTGTTTTTTTTAAACTTTGTTTACCTTCATCAAGTGGTCTCTGATTAAGCTGTGAACACTAAAATGAACTCCAAGTGTGAGAAAACTGATATTTGTAGGACTGTGAAATTTTTGCCTGTCTTTATTGAGGCTATTCTGCTTCTCAACTAATAGGTTCTTAGGTAAGGGTAAAGGTTTTCCCCTAACATTAAGTCCAGTTGTGTCTGACTCTGGGGGTTGGTGCTCATCTCCATTTCTAAGCCGAGGAGCCAGTGTTGTCCGTAGACATCTCCAAGGTCATGTGGCCAGCATGACTGCATGGAGCACTATTACCTTCCTGCTGGAGTGGTACCTATTGATCTACTCACAGTTGCATGTCTTCAAAGTGCTAGGTTTGCAGAAGCTGGAGCTAACAGTGGGAGCTCACCCTGCTCCCTGGATTTGAACCAGTGATCTTTCGGTCAGCAGGTTCAGCAGCTCAGCAGTTTAACCCACTGTACCACAGTGTGCTCCGAATAGGTTCTTGTGTCATAGCTATCAAGACCCTAACCTAAAAGGTACTTGGCAACTGAAAAAGGGTTTGTTGTCTACACTGGCTCAGGGGTTTAGCTTTGGTGCTAAGGTACAGTTTACCCCCAGCGGTAAGAGCAACATGTCATTCCACCTATTCATTGTACAGCTTCTCGTGCAGGGACATGAGAGAAGCCTCCCACAGGATGGTAAAACATCCAGGCGTCCTCTGGGCAATGTCCTTGCAGACGGCCAGTTCTCTCACACCAGAAGCAACTTGCTGTTTCTCACGAAAACTGACACACAAAAAATTGTACCACACCATTTTCCACACTGCCCTTGTCCCTTAATACTGTATCTTCTAAACTAAAATTGTACACAAGACATACTTTTTGGGATGGAATTTCCCAGAATTATCCAAGCAACATGAGTTGTCGACTAGAAAGTTAGTAAGTCTCTTGTCTTCTAGCACTTTTATTTTCTCCTTTGCCATTCTCCTTTTGGACCGCACTCACAGTGTGCCTATTCGTATATGTGCCTTCAAGTCAACTGTTGACCTACCACAATCTCATGAGTTTCCGGCTGTCCTCAGGCAAGGAATTGGAGAGGTTTCACTATTACCTTACTTTATTGCCTGTAGCACCTGGAAGTCCTCCATCCAAGTACTAACCAGGCACTATTCTGCTTTGCTTTCAAGATCAGCTGGAGTCTGGGCCTTTCAGGGTATTCATGGTATTAACAGCAACAGTTCTTCCCTCCATTCTGAGAGCAAGCATTTGGTCCACACAGCACTTGGACTTTCCACCTCTTTGTTAAAGTAGATCTTGTGAGTGTTTGCATCTGGGTACTTTTTAAACCACTGAGCTGCTAAACTTGTTGACTGAAAGGTTGCAGGTTCAAATCTGGGGAGTGGCGTGAGCTTCCGCTGTCAGCCCTAGCTTCTGCTAACCTAGCAGTTCGAAAACATGCAAATGTGAATAGATTAATAGATACCGCTCCGGTGGAAAGGTAATGGCGCTCCATGCAGTCATGCTGGCCACATGACCTTGGAGGTGTCTATGGACAATGCTGGCTCTTTGGCTTAGAAATGGAGATGAGCACCAACCCCCAGAGTCAGACATGACTGGATTTAATGTCAGGGAAAAACCTTTATCTTTACTTTTTTAAAACACAGCATGATTATTTCAAGTTTTGAAAAAGAAACTGCCTTGGAGGCTAGGATTCTATTCAAGGTGGCATATTAGTGCGGAACACAATTTGCTTCAACTGGAAATTAAGTTTTCCGCAAAACTTAATTAAAATATGGCAATTATGTTTCTAATGTGGCCCAACATAATGATTGACACGTGAATGAACCTACCGTATATTCCGGCATATAAGACGACTGGGTGTATAAGACGACCCCCAACTTTTCCAGTTAAAATATAGAGTTAAGATGACTCCCATGCATAAGACTACAGCCGCGTATAAGACGACCCCTGACTTTTGAGAAGATTTTCTTGGGTTAAAAAGTAGTCTTATACGCCAGAATATACTGTACTCAAAAAAATGAGTGTACAATGGATAGATTTGTTTTGAGCTCCAGGGCAGCACTGCCCCCTCCCAAAAAAACCCCATTCTGGCATGGATCACATATTTTGGATTGCAACTCCTATTATCTTCAACCAGCATGGCCATTGGCCAAGTTGGCTGAGAATGAGATGCATTCTCTGTTCCTGCACACCCAGAGGGCTCCGGATTCTGCTAAAAGGATAGCATTCTGAAATGGACTGCATGCAAATAACCTCCGTGCCGCCAACAAAGCTGCAATTTCCATAGCTGTTGCTCTTATCAAAGCCGAGAAAAGATGGGGAAAGCCACAACTCCCACCTACCACCTTGCCTTCAAAGAGCAGAAAGGCTCCTTTTTGAATATGGTTAATCTAACTCTATTTAACCTTTGATATTTATTGCTATAAACCCAGATAAAGCTTCCCGTTGTAATGAAATTCTAATCTCCTCTCTTCTTTTAGATTTTTTCTCTTCTGGGTCTCCTGTGTTCTGTGGCCATGTTTCCTAAATTAACCATGCCCTCTGTTGAAAGAAATGTCTTCTGACACTCTCCCTTTCAGTTTAATTGAGCTGTTCTTTAACTCTTCCATTATGAATAATGGAAATCAGGTGGTAGGTGCTTGACATTTTCCAAGAATGGCTTCTTGCAGGAGGGAAAAAAATAGCAGTGAGGATGTGAGCAGGGCAGAAAAATGCTACTTCCTGAAAAATACAGTACTGTCAAATGTTCCTGAAAACAAGTTTTGTTTTCCATTAATCATGAGGGGAAATCCATACATAGCCAGTCCATTGCAAGCGCCTTATAGCAGAAATATTTTTTATCTCTTCTTAAAAGCCTACACACATCCTGCCGAGATTACTCAACTGTATCCACCCAGTGTGGGAGCATGGTATTAGTAACTCATGTGAGAGCAAAGGGAAGGTGACCTTGCATCACTAGAGCTAGTCCCTCGTTCAAAGGCTCCCTAAATATGGGTTAAGTCCAGGGATGTAGCTATGTATCCCCTAAATAAAAAAATCCCATCCCCTCAATGTGATTTTTTTTTCATTTCCCAAATTGTGCGCCAGCTGTGCCCATACCTTGGGAAGTCTGGCTTGGCTATGATGGTCCATGACTGGTTACATCCCGTATAGACTACTGCAATGTGCTCTACGTGGGGTTGCCTTTGAAGACTGTTCGGAAGCTTCAAATGGTCCAATGGGCGGCAGCCAGGTTACTAACGGGGGCGGCGCTCAGGGAGCACACTACTCTTCTGTTGTGTCAGCTCTACTGGCTGCCAGTTTGCTACCAGGCACAATTCAAAGTGCTGGCATTAGCCTATAAAACCCTAAATGGATCTAGCCGAGCTTACATGTCTGAATGTTATTTCTCCTTATGAACCATCTAGGAGCTTAAGATCATCTGGGGAGGCCCTGCTCTCAATCTTGCCTGTATCACAAGCACAATTGGCAGGGATGAGGGACAGGGCCTTCTCAGTGGTGGCCTCCTGGCTATGGAACACAACCTCTGAGGATGCCTGCCACAGATGTGGGTGAAACCTCAGGAGAGAATGCTTCTAGAACATGGCCATACAGCCCAGAAAACTCACAACAAACCAGTGATTCTGGCCATGAAACCCTTTGACAATATCTACAGACCCACTAAGAAAATCCAACAAATGCCACGTTCACCAAATGACAAGAGGGATCTTCTCACCACTGCAGGAGTCTACCATATACCATGCAGCTGCAGGACAAGTTTATATAGCGACCACCAAACACAGCAATGCTCAAACACGAATCAAGGAACATGAAAGGTACTGCAGACTAATTCAACCAGAGACATCAGCCATAGCAGAGCATCTGATGAACCAACCTGGACACAGCATATTATTTGAGAACACAGAAATG